GCAGATTCAATATTCCGATGTTCTGAAACTATGAACAATGCCTAAGAGCAAGAATAGCGGCTCGAGAAGCGCCCCCCTATAAGACTACGCAAACTCAAGAAGTTGCTGACCGTACAACTCAACGATCTTATCAATTGGGAGAAAAAAGAAAACATTTAACAACTAACACGCTAAAGAAAAATAAGAAACCCGGAAGAGGAAGTAAGAATTGAAAACGACCACACGAGTTTCAACTTGTCGCAATATTGCGACCTCGTGAATTGCGGCTCTTTGCCGCTACCGTATCTTCTCAAAAACTTCGAGACACGTTGAGCCAACTGCTGCGCTGAATTGCACTATGAGATTGGTTCAGCCGCTCATGTATAGTCATCCATGCAATATGTTCAGTCTATTCTTGCTCCAGAGAGCAATACATCCATCCTTCACCAAAACTCCCTTTAACAAAAACTAGTTTCTGAACTATATTTCATTAAAAAAGATAATTTTCCTTTCAATTCCTCTTTGAGATTTCTACGTCGGTTGTAGCTATCGGCTTTTCCGCAATAGAAGCGAATCTTCAAGGGAATCACGCACGTTTATAAGTGAGCCACCTTTCCTCCTCTTTCTTAGATCTTTTAATCAGTGTGGCAATTTGCCGTTGGTAAATATCAACCCACTGCCGGATCTGCAATTTTGTTCATTTTTTGGTAGTGCATTGATTGAGCGAACTCTCGGAAAGGTTTTTATAAATGATCGATCGTGCAACTTCGCCTCTTCTCGACCGGAGGTAATTGCCCGACTAAAGTCGCGCTGATCTACTTAGTCCTGCTCCAGCTGATTTCGATCATTCTATTCTCTCACACTTTTACTTCCAAGGTAATACTACTATAAAACACAATTTCATTCTGAACTCCGGCCTCTAACTTTGAACTATGTATGAACTTCTGACTTTTACATCGAGCTATGAACCGGCATTTGTCCCTGAAATTCACCCTTCTTCCATTCCCAGAGCTTCCATATAAGCCTTTTTTGATAACCTAGTAGTGACCTTGTTCTTTTCTGCTTTTTTTTCGAGCAGGAGGAATCTTCGAGTCCGCGTTCATACTCCACTTTTCGGGAATATAAGATCAAATGATAATGAAAAACATGCTTATTGATTGGGTGGTTGAGAAATTCACCTGAGAAAAGAATATACGTATTGGTTAATGTTAGGAGTCCCACTCAAATCAGTCAATACGCAACTAATTTTTTAGAGGGATCTCTATTCTTCCAATCAACGAGTAGATTGCCTTCTTAGAATGTCCTATTCCAAACATGGAGCTTAAACGCGGTTTAAAGGTCCCTTTCTACACAGCGCAAAGCATCTTTAGAACCGGCAACTTTGAGCAGAGGATTCATTCAGAACTGTATTCAAAAATCTAAACAAAGTAGTCATATATTTCTGTTAGTGTTCAGTCTATTTCACATCTCTTAATCTATCCCTTTCCACTTTCTTACCTCGAATCTCTTCTTTCTGCGGTCTATAGATTTATTGATTAAAATCAATACTCGGTTCATGAGTATATCAGATTATGCTTGTATTTTCGACTCGGATCTTCGTGCATTTGATTCCCGCAGCCGTCCTAACCGGCATCACATAGCATCAGCGTTCGTCGTCACATTTGCCAATAAGTCTGCAATTACGACATACGCGGCCGCGGGAAACAAAACATCTTCGACTAATTCACCGCGTTTCATTGTGTTCGATGCAAAATTCCGGATGATTGATGGATTTTCAGAGTGCGGTAGGGAAAAATTATTGGTGACTCCATGCAATAATGCGATCAATAAGAAATATATTCTCAATCGGTGTCGTTTGTATATTCACTGTTGTGTGCCTATATTTATACCGTAGCCTTGATAATCGTACGATTCCCAGCGATGCTTCACGGCAAGAGGTAAGTGGTTATATGAAGTTCTCGTTCTTTTTAAATTACTGGCAGGCCAGGTTTTATTGTTATTTTGAAGACCGCACCACGGTTGATGATCCCTTGATCTGAGCAGTTGTGATTCGCAGGAATATTAATTCGTTGCTTAAAGGTAGCGGTCGCGATGGTTGAGGGGCGGGGACTTAGCGCGCAAGAGGAGTGGCTAGATCGATTCCCGATACCTTTCTACCAAGTGCGCATACAACTCGTCTCCGCCTCTCGGCCATCGCGATGTCTGAGAGGCCTGAATAAAAAGCGGAGAATTTTCTGATGAACTGCCTTTTTCGTAGAATAACAATGAATATTATTACCATGCCAAGGCTATTGCCCTCTGTATAGCCTAGCAACATTCGTTACCGAGCGCTTCTGTCAGCTCAAATTGAACCCTGGAAGGTTGTTGTAATGTGGGCGTAGCTGTATTGAAAATACTTCCCCTAGGGAATATACCTGTCAGCATGGTTATTCTTTCCTTACGTTACCGCTTTTAGAAGAGAGTGTCATCCTTGTTTTCCGACATGGAACGGCTTCGAAATGTATTAAAAAGTAATCGTGCGGAGATTGCTAAACTAAAGCAGCAACTGGCCGATGTTGAGCTTAAGCGAAAGCAGGAATGGGACAAACAAGTCGGTATGTCAACCATGCTTGACCTATCCGCTGTTTGTGCTTTTTTCTATTTTTTTCCTATTGGAAGTTGTTTTCCAGAGAAGGAAAACGAGGTATATGATGAGAAGGCTCAAGCAGAGAAAGCACTAGAGGAGAAAGTTGTTCAGATTGCTGGCGATGCCAATCATAAAGCAGTTGAGGAAGAACAGAAGGGGGTTATTCCGGAGCCAAATCGAGGTATCTTGGAGTTTCCTTTCCTAAGCATTCTCACTTCGCGTCACCGTAGAATGTGTGGAAAGCGCGGAACTTGCTACTAAGATTAGATACTTATCGACTGGATTGGTCGCCTAGCCACGCGTCGCGGCAAATGCGAACGCGACATATTTCCCGGTTGAGGGCGGGACCAACCGGAGCAGTACTTCATCTTGGTAGGTTATTCCGCGGATTTCGCATTTTTCACGCATTCCATGTGGAGCGAAGTATGAACTGTCTTTTAATGGTGGGGCACATCTGGGGAGCTCGTGCGATTTATTGAATGAGCTGACAGCAATTTTTTCAATCAGGAAACAAGGTCGCGGTTGTCTTTGACGAGCTCCATAAAAGCGTTACCAAATCATCGGTACCAGTTTGTCAACTGCGAGCAAATTACTCGAACTCAAATGCTGATGTTCAGGTGAGTACGGCTTCATGATTTTCAATTCCGAGTCCATCATTCAGTCTCTTAATTTATTCCTCCCACTGGGCATAATACGCCTGTGAATTCAGATGTTAGATCTGTACGATGTGCTCTCGTTTGACAATCCCGATGGTGGCGCATGGAAGCAAGGTTGGGAGGTAACCTACGACAAAGGAAAAGTTGCAGAGGAAAAAACGCTACAAGTCATAGTACTACCTCATTCTCACTGTGATCCAGGTAAGTTGTGGCTTCCTTCCTCTCTTTGTCTGTCTTTTTCTCAATGAAGATGGGATTTCCCAATATTTTTTGTGGATATTCTCCCTGTAGTTGCATGATGACAGCTTTGGTATTCAGTAAAAAGCAACATTTATCGATTTATTGACCATGGCAACCACTTGCGTTCGCGCAGGTGTGGCTCGGTAGAACAGAAAGCAATTTTTCGCTTTTCGCGGTGCAAAGCTTTTTCGCTGCGGGAATCCGAGGTCCACCACTGATCAGTACTGGACATGGGGTTATCGCGGTGAGAAAATTTTTGCGCTGAAGCGAAAAAATCGCTTTCTGTCTTAGCAATCCACACCCGTCTTGTGCAGGATGACGCAAACATTTGGAACTCAATGTGTTTGTGCTGGAGCATCGTGAAATTCTATATTTTTTTCTGTTTAGGCTGGATTAAAACATTTGAGGAGTACTATCATTCTCAAACACGTGACATCTTGGATGGCATGGTGAAGCATTTGGGCGAGGAGCAGCAGGTAAGCGGTAAAATTCGTTGCGTGCTGGCTTTCCTAAACTATAGACTTAGTTCGATAAATTTTCGTCATTCATAGAAGGATATGAGGTTCATATACGCGGAAATTTCTTTCATGGAAATGTGGTGGAGAGATCAAAGCGATGATGTCAGGAAGAAAGTTACACAGTGAGTTTCAAACTTCTCACCTTTTACATTTGAGGGTAACAAATATTCCGTTTGTTCAGACTGTTGAAAGATGGCCAACTAGAAATCGTGACCGGTGGCTGGGTGATGACGGATGAAGCGAACGCGCATTATTTCTCCATAATTGCCGAGTTAATCGAAGGACATGAATGGATAAGAAATCACATCGGTCAAGGTACGGTCTAGGTAATTATCGTGGAGAAAGATCGTCGCTATGCACAAAAAAATGCCATTTCGTAGTTCACCTCGCTTGTATGAAGGTACTCTTTTATGCCGGTGTCAGACTTTGCGAATAGCGAGCACGAGCGATATGCCAGCGATTCGACCTACGCCCTGCTCGAAACGCTGGTGCATCGTTCGGCCCGTGATTCGCCGGATCCACAGTCTGACATTGGCCATAAGAACTTCAAGCTATTATGGTGCTAACTTAGTTGGGGGGACCACGCGGCGGCGCTGCGCTCTGCTCGTCTGGCACGCTCTCAGCGAAGTGTATGCGGCGGCGCAGCTATGCTCGGCTAGCGCTTTCTCAAGCGAGACAGCACTAAAACTGAGCCTAGGTGGAAGGCTCGGAAGCCCTTTTACTAGAACTAAGCCTCAAGAAAAGGAGGAATTCTGGGTGGGATAGTAACACTATCCCACCCAGAGTTCCTCCTTTTCCTGTTTCCTCCAAAGTTACTTCAGTTCAAACATGCATAGAGCAAGATCACACTGTCTACGGCATTCCATCCCTGCCGAGGCTTGGCTTAGTCGCAGTGCTATCTCGCTTGAGAGCGCGCCAGACGAGCAGAGCGCTGCGCCGCCGCGTGGTCCCCCCAACTAAGTAAGCACCGCTTTTATTTATGTTTTCCATTTCTGACTCTCTTTGTTCAGTTGTATATTCAATTGTTTTCTAGATTTCACTCCAACAACTCACTGGTCGATCGATCCATTCGGTTTATCACCATCGATACCGTATCTTCTCTCAGCGGCAAATATCACTAATGCAGCCATACAAAGGTGCAGTTTTTTTTCACTATATTGGCAGTAAGCGGAACCCTTCAAAACTACAACCTGGTGTTTATACTTCGTTTCTTTCGTAATTTTTTTTTACTTTATTGATTGAGATTTCGTGTACACTCCTTATGGACACGTCACAAGTCAACAGTATTCTGTAATACCAAAACTAATTAATGAGAATAAGTGCACTTAAGAGTATTTGTTTAGAGTTCATTATTCTGTGAAGAAGCATCTTGCTAGAAATAAGCAGCTTGAATTTATGTGGCGTCAGCTTTGGGGTAAGCTTTTCTGCTGAAATACTTCCCTGTTTGAGCTTATCGGCTTATAGAGCGAAGTGTTTCATTTGTTTTTGCCAGTTGTATATGCTAATTTATCCTCGCATAGGTTCTCACGGAAAGGCTGATATTCGTACACACGTGTTCCCATTTTACTCATACGATGTGCCTCACACATGTGGACCTGAGCCGGCTATTTGCTGTCAATTCGACTTCAAGTCTGTTGTAATGGCTCTATTGCCTCCATTTCACTCTTATCTATTTTAGCGACTTAAATCTGTTTCTCCGAATATTTCGCGTATAATTCCAGACGATTGAAGGGATTAACTTGTCCATGGGGTACTCAACCTGAGATAATCACAGAAGAAAACGTCGAAAATCGGTGGGTTATCGATCCATATCGTTTCACTAACATTGTTTTAATGGCTTCAATTACATGGTTGATGCTGAAAAAATACAGTTAAAATGATTTACCTGACAGTTTTACTGCTGCAGGGAGACTCCTGCAGCAGTAAAACGGTCAGGTAAAATGGAAAATGGCAGTGGAAAATCTCCCAGGCCTGAGTTTCATGTCAATATCGGTAGCGCCAGCGCAGCTCATAGCGACCATGAGACTTATACCCTATTTCGGCAAATGAGAAGGGCGTCGAGTGCAGACCATGCACCACAAGTGACGACGGCCAAGAGAAACGCGGCTCCCTTTTTTCTTGCCGTCGTCACTTCGTGGTGTGTGGTCTGCACTCGGCGCTTTTTTGTTCTCCGAAATAGAGGATACAACGATCAGCCTACTTTTCGCTCGCCTTTATTACACAAGTATGGAAGTTGCCTTACGGTACCTGTTTCAAAACGCGCCTTGATTTCCTATGTGTTAACTTTACGAACCGAGTTAGGGGAATAATTCAACATTTCTTCCATTAATGCATATATTCTGTTTTGAAGAACCGGTTGTTCTGCGAATGTGTGCGAGGCGTAGAGGCAATCAAAGCACCCATCTGGCGCTACCTGTCGAGCCTGCTGACGGTAGAGGTCCCACCTACATCCCCATCGCGACAAAGATATAAATTTGTTCTGTGTGGCGTATAGTGTTTGCCCTCAATGCCATAATTTCAGGGCTTTCAAAATTTATGATCAGTACAGGAAGAAAAGTCAACTCTATAAAACAAATGTTCTGTTAGTACCGTTAGGTGATGATTTTAGGTAAGTTGCCTTAATTATCCCATGTGTTTGCACAAATATTTCTAGAAAATTAGTGGTCAAACAGTTATATTTAGGTATTTTGATCCAATGAGGAATGGGAAGATCAGTACACAAACTATGTGAAACTATTCAAAGAGATGAACAACAAGAAGGAATGGAATGTCCACGTAAGTCTAAAATATAACAGGTTGCAAGAAAATTTTCCACTTTTGATTTTTTCCCTTTTTGCCGTTTCTCGGTCAAGAACGAGCCAAAAATTCATTTCCATGACGACCCTCAGTCGAGTTGATGTAAAAATAGGTTATGGGGGGGGGGGGAATCACAAAAATTCCGAATTAAGGAACCTTCCAGAAGCCTAAAAGGGCCATTGTACCAGATATACCATGACAATTTATGTGCTACAGAGCAGCGCAGCTATCCGCGAGGCGCACCCGTTTTTCAAAAGGCCTAGGAAAACTCGCCGTTTGCGAAGTTTTTTCTTTAACCTTTCTCAGCTGTTCTCATAACTAACATTCCACCAATCCCAGGCTCGTTTCGGAACGCTGTCCGATTACTTCGCTGAGCTGGATCGATCACTTCGCGTTGACCAGAAATCACTGCCTGTTTTATCTGGAGATTTTTTCACTTATTCAGATCGAGATGATCACTACTGGAGTGGTTCGTTCTAAAGGCTTTGAGTTTTTTAAGGCATTGCTAATTTATTATTTTAAGGTTACTTCACATCTCGACCGTTTTATAAGCAAATGGATCGTACGCTTTTACACCAGCTGCGAGCTGCTGAAATTGCGTTTTCATTGCGTTCGATGAATGGTGGCTCGCTTTATAGTAGCGTATGTTTGATTTCTAATTACAACTAGGAACTTGATTACTCACTGCGAATTTGCTCTTAAAGACGTTTAAAAATAGTTTCATGGTGCTTATGTCCGAGAATCTTGGGTTTTCCTATATATTTTATAGATATCATTTTTTGGGTATCCGACAGGAGGCCCGTCGCGTGGCAAGAAGGCAGTCAGCAGACAATTAGTAGCGTGTACTGTAATGACTTGCGTCAAGTTGAATAGAATGATGGTAGTACTAAATCGCACAGAAAGCGCTGCGAATCGTCCGCTGACTCTGCTTCTTGCCGCGTGACGGGCCTCCTGTCGGGTACCCCATTTTTTCTCTTTTGTGTATCAATAAATATAGCTAACGTTAAGGCATTCGGTAGTCTTGTGGAAGCAAGGAGAGCATTGTCATTATTCCAACATCACGATGGTGTAACTGGTACGGCAAAAGATTATGTTATGAAAGATTATGGAAACAAGTAAGATCCCAATAAGTTTGAGGCACATGCTTCTCTCTCACTTTTGTTTTTGCTATTTTAGTGACTTCTTCTGAAAAAAGGATCAAAATTATTTACAGAATGTTATCAGCTCTTGCAAGGAACGGAAAAAGTGCTTTCTGAAGCAATAGGTGGATTGATAGGCGCTAGGACAGTATCGAGTATGAGTCTGATTTTGGACGAGTACCGAGAAGGACAAGATTCGCTACCTAAGAGAAGGACTTATAAGATTGGAGAGTAAGTGTTTTTAGAATTTTCCAACTCCTGCGCGCTCATAATGAATGCTTAAAAGACCCGTAGAGCGAAAGGTACCTAGAGAGCACTTTTTCGTGGGTGCATTTGCATTGAAAGGGTGTCGAGCGTGAATGCCCTCATAGACTATTTCCACACTCTCAACGAGTGCAGTGTCTTTAATGTGATAGCTGAGCAACCCAGAATATATTTTTAAATGACGGGTTGGATACCTTACGGAGTTTTTGCAGATTTGTCGTTCTGTTCAACACACTGTCGCGATCAAGAAATGAACCTGTATGCATTCGAGTGGATTCGTTACGTGCTGCAGTGAAAGCTCCCAATGGAAAAGAGGTACTACAGCATCTTTCAACGCATTGTTTGCCACTTTTCTTCATAATTTGGACTTGAAATATTGCTCCTTTTTGAATTTTTTTTATTTCCTTTTGTTCATAATTCACGAAAACTTGTATCGGAAAGACTGCGCAAATTCTCCTGCTCTCTTATAAAACTGCAATGGAATCTGTTGCCTACTTGGGTTACCTACATCGTAAATCATGGGAAAGTTATTTCATAGAAAATTTTCTTAGAAAATTCGGCGCAATGTGGCTATTGGGGGCTAGTTGGCGCTGCGGCGCGTTGCACGTTCGCGTACCTCAGTGAGGAGCGAAGAATCCGTGAGCCAGGGGGGAGTGTAGCCAGTCTAGGGGGTGGGGGTGAGGGCAGTCACTTGACATGCGTGAAAAGCTGGAATGTTCGAGTTCCCACTATGTCGCGATCACGCCAGGTGCCGCAGCGGCGACTGCTGTGGCGACAAATTTTGTGCACATGGCTCAATTTTCTTAGAAAATGCAGTTATAGATATAGTCAATTCCAGTTCGATACATTACTGCCCCTTTAGCTATTTTTTCAGATTCGGCAACAATTGTCACCTGTATTTGAACTTCAAAATTCCCATTTGGTAGCAAGCAAAAATTACGAGGTTTGTTTTACAAACATTTGGATTCTTCATTATGAAATTCGATATCATTATTGTGGCCTACACTGACAGTACATTGTGATTATTTTGAGTGAGTTGAGGGCTTCTCATTTTTTAGCTTTGTTTCGTCGATCAATTGAATGCGTTTGGAGTGAGCGTTTACGAGGTGATTGAAAAACCAGACAATAAGGGATCTCTTGCGACAGTCATGGCTGCGAGCAACTCAGCAGTGAGGTAAACTAAAACCACATGAGGCAAACCTTAATCTTTAACGATTTGGAGCCAGATGAAATCTTCGAAAGATAGCTTTTGGTATATGTTTAGCGGTTTTGATTTCGAGGCGATCAAAGGAGAGAAGTTTTTGCTGAAAAATGAGCAACTTGAGGCAATCTTTAGCGCTGCTACCGGCTTTTTGCAGGTACATTAGTTGATCTATGGATTGATATTTATTTGACAGGTGTGATATTTTCTCTTTTCAGTCTGTATTACCTAACAATCATCGAGAAATAGTAGTGGATCTTCACTTTGTACATTATGGCGCACGGGATAATAGGAAAAAACGTAAGTATTTTTTCAGAGTATTCAAGTTTTCCGTGTTTGGCTTTTATACCCACCAAAGATAGTTACCGCCTGTTACACAAATCGTGATGGTTCACAATAATCGTTCCAATAATTTTGGTCTTGAAAACTATACGATACTGTTCTTATTTGTTAACTGCTATTTTTGGCCGTAGTTTGTTCACCCTTCACCCAGCATTCTTGTGAAATATTCAATACTTTCCCTCAGTTGCTTTCGCTTATTCTCTTTGGAGGGATTTCATCTTCAAAATGTTAGTAGCTTCTTCATC